ACAGACTAAGAGTTATGTGGAACTCGAACCCACTAAAACTCCCACCGATGTTCTTCGCTGGTTTTTCGTGGGGGGCGCTTGGGCACGCGTGCAGCATTCTTCTAGGCCTCCAAGCCCGTCAACTTCGACCCTAGAATATCTATAATAAGAGTACGATTCAATAGAATATGGATGAGACAAAACTGCATCGAAATGTGCGCTCATTTTCAAATGTGAGGTGTAAAACTGAAATTGTACATATAATAATTTAGCAGAACGCAACTGTTTTATAAATGCGATGCTGCTGAGATAAGACCATTTCTCTAGATCTAAAAATATAATTTAATATATTCTGCTGAACGCAGAAGGAGAGAGTCAATGATTTTATAATGAATAAATTAAAGAAGCATGACAGCAGTGGTAAAGACAAATAGAATGAAAGTGAAATTTATTTAAAAATAAACAGTATGAAAATGAATGAGCTTAAAAATAGGAGTATTAACTATCTTTTTAAGATATTTAATTTTTTATTAGATATATATAACTTTATTATAATATATATTCAATTTGTTAATTTATGTCCAAAACATTATCAGTGACAATAGAATTGCATAATAATATGAAGTAATAAAACAATATACAATTACGTCTTCTTTCTATCTTCATTTTTGTATCAAAACATATTTACATCAAAATGTACCTGGAATAATATATAATATAATACGTTTAATAATTTATTTATATTAAAAAATCATAAAAGCAAATTGTTACTAACCTCACATAACACTAAATTATTAAACGGAGTCCAGTTTTATCGTTCTGCAGAACTTTCAGCAGAAATTTTTCGTCTTTTTTCTCGTGGAAAACACATTTTAAAATCCTTTTTGGCAGAGTTTGTACAATAATCTGCTACACAATCAGGTATTGCAGCTCTAATATGTCAACAAACAAGTAGGTTAAATTACAATGACTACACGAGAAATTCACGTTTTTATTTCATTAAAAGAATATAAAATTCCACCGCAATCCCTTTGTCACTCACCTATCCTTCTCAATTTGAATGACTCGCCGAATAAAATGACCAGTAAACAAACCACTCACCTCTGACAAACAGAAAACTCGCTCAAAACAGTGTAAATGACTGTGTGTAAATGGTGTAAACTGTTTGTACACTGATAGTACATACGAGCACGCATTTTCTGCTTTTGCCTTAATTTGGTAGGCCAATCACTGTACTTTTATTATAGATATTTTAATTGACTCTATCCCTCGGCGACCTCTGGTAACTATGGGTCACCGGAGCCCTAAGCCCCGGGAGCCCCGGAGCTCACCGGGCTTACCTTTCTAACAAGAAGAGTAAACACCCGTCTCCTCGCCTCGTCCCTTTCTCAGTTGTAAGGAGAAAGGGGGGCAGAGTTGGAGACTAGGTACCCGTCCAATCCCCTCGCCCAGTGTGTCATAGAGCATTACGCCCGCCGCGACAGACGCGGGAACCTGACGGCATTGGGTCCCGCCGCGCGAGCATCTCTTCCTCCTTCCAACTTGTCCCCTCTCCTTCTTTGTCTCTTCTTTCCTAAGCATGACACTTTCACAGAAGGAGGAGACGGCCTCCAGATTCTCTCACCTCTCAGCATGGATCTGATCAGTGCCTCCCCCACCATTTCTAGGGCACCGCGCTCAACGTCCTACGCTGGACACTCCTCAAGGGCATATTGCGTGGTTGGCAGCGCAGTAGTGGCACTGCGCAACCGGCTCTTTATCTATCTGGTGCAGATACTCACCGAAACAGCCATGTCCGATGAGCATCTGCATCGAAACAACAACCCCCCATGGTCCCTCTCTACCTATTCCAGCAGGCAGGGACGGATGGCTTGTACGATCCGAATCTGCGAGACGTTCGCGCTAAGCGTCAAAGATCCGCCTTTTCTCGTAGTCTTATCCGCCTTTTCTCCGCATCCATTACGCGAGAATACTCCCCGCATGCGGAACGTATGCGAACCCATCGAGTCTCGGCGAGCCCGTATGTCAGCAAGTCCACGGGGGGATCCCTGCCAAGACCGCGGATACGACATGCGATATCGTCCTGTACGTCCTCGTAATACGGAGGACGAGGCGTCTTTGCACCTGGCACAGCATATGCCGGATGTTAGACCATCCCTTGCCTTCCCATCCCATATGAGTGCTCCGCATAGGAGCCTTACCAGGACGGTTTACATGTAGACACGCCGAACTGCCATCCTCAAGCCATGAAGGTTGGGCAAAAGACCAGCGTGTCGGCCTGTTTGCCCACCCTGAGAGTCAGTTGTTCGAAATGAACCCTGAACTCCACCGGCCAGCGTGAGGACCAAGTATTTCAGACTTAGGTCTCACTTAGATGGAGGCTGTCCCTATTCTTATGTGGGCTGGGAGTGGCGGCCCCCGAATCTTTGTCTTGTGAGATGTTACCTTCAGTCCCACTCCCCTTATTGAACCAACCACGCACTCTATCGATGTTTGCGGTGGTGATCGTTTCCCCCCAGTCCTGAGAGTACCAGGGTGTCATTTGCATAGCAGATGACATGACCTCAGTGAGAGGGCATCGCGGAGAACGGCGTCATAGGCTCGGCGACTACTCAGGAGCTTTAAGAACAATGTAAAATATGTTAACTGGTATATTTTATGTAGGAAAATGGCGAAAAAAAACGGTTTTAATATTTTTTCCTGTTCCACTAAAAGATTCCGCACAAAATCAAAGAATTTTGGTCCTCAGTGAAATTGGCTGAAATTTTAGTATGTAACTGTATGTTGTTCTTGATTCACTAATCAAGTGTCTATAGGTACAAAGCTTGAAAATGACCCGTTTTTTTGTTATACTTGTTAAAGTTTTATTTTATTAATGCCTCACAATTATCTGTAATAAATCAAGAGATTTTTTTAGATAACAATATGCGAATCACTCTCACCATCCTCACCTGCACTCCCTCCCTACTCCCACATATATATGCCTACGCACGTATTTTTATATGACAAAGATACATAAAAATCGAAGTAAATATATTTTTTTTATACTTGTAAATGTGTGTATGTGTGTGTGTGCATCAATTACGTATTTAGTTTTTTACCGTTTTCTCAGAATTATCCTCATGAACGATGTGAACGTGTGTTATAGATGCTTTATTTCTTTGGGGTGTTTGATTTTCGTAATTTCTCTTGCCTCACGTTTAGAATGCACAAAAAAAAATAAAGAGAATAGGAAAAGAATTTTCTATCCTATGTTAACATTCGTGATAATCAAGCACCTCACACATGAGAGGTAAGAGAACTCACGCATTTCAAACGATACGCATGAGAGAAGTCGTAAAAATCTAGCAGAATCTAAATACATGATTGTAAAAGATTTACTTCAATTTTTACGCTACTTATAAAAATACGCGCGCGGGCGTATGGGTGAGGTGGGAGGTGAGGAGGGAATGAGCGGTTTGGGGGAATGAGGGTGAGGATAGTGAGAGTGATTGGCATATTGTTATCTAAAATCTTTTAATATATTACAGAAACATGATTTTGAAGCATTAATATTGTAAAATAAAACTTTAAAAACGGCTTAAACTAAAAACTTAGTCATTTTAAAGCTTTGTACTTATGGACATTTTTGATCAGTGAGTCAAAAACTATAACATACAAGTATTAAAGTTTCAGTCAATTTTATCGAGGGCTAAAATATTTATATCTATGATTTTGTGCAGGATTCTTTAAAAATAAAAAAAAATGGAATATAATTTATAATAACATTTAGCTGCTGAATTATTTTAGAAGTGGTCAAATATTTAGATCATATGAAAAATGCAATTTTAAAAGTTCTTGAGTTCTTTTAAAAACAGAATTTTTAACTTTAATCGGTTGATTCAGCAGTATCTACCAATCAATCAGGCTTTCAACAGAAAAAGAAATTCATCCATTTATTTGCCTCTCACTCTACTCATCTTTCTACCGCCATTGTCATCGGTAGTATAATATATTATATCGATGTGGGTTGTCGATTCCAGTAGATGCGGTCATTCACAACTGCATAATAGATTTCAGCGGTATAATCAATGGCATGTCTTTTTTTTAATAAAGTTCGTAGCATATCGAATTGTGATACAATTATGACGGACTTCCGTAGAAATAGATTAAAACAAAAGCCAAAATGAAAAGATACAGGTTGTAAAAACGAATTTTTTCGTAAAAAGAAGCATGTCTTTTTCTTTATAAGAAAAACTCAATTTTGAATTATTTTTTATAGAGAAGACGAAAGTCAGCAATAAACATATTTCTGCAAATTTAAATTATAAGTTGACCAATAAATTTGATTCATTGCAAGTTTAAATAACGACAATCATCGATGGATCTTTAGTATTTTGAATAATTTATCAATAAATTGATAATTTAATATACTAATGTAATTTAATATGTTTTTTATGACCGATTGCTGCCAACCGAAGGTTGGCGAAAAACGAAGGGAGTATGCGTTTCACCGAGGCAAATCGGTTGTAAGCGCATATTTCCATAACTATAATGTATATTCTTATCAATTTTTGGCTATAAATTATTGACCAAGATTAGTTTATAGCACATAATTATCAATAATTTATTGTTAATAAATAAGGATTTTCGTTTACATGAGTTTTTTATTGATTAGAAATGAATTCTCGTTGTATGAATCGTTCTTTGATTAGATGTTGGCTGAATCTAGGAAGCAAATCGATTAACCAATGAGATGTATTGTCAGTAGGAAATTTTAGTAATCCTCAGTTATGGTTAGCACATGTCATAAGCAAAGAGAAAGCTGATAGAGGACATGACGGCCCAAAACCTGTAACCGTAAAATGCTGCCGCGCATTACCATCCTCTGAAGAAGTGGATGTTAACTACACAATAATATCCACCTTTTTGCGGTTCTCCTGGAAATATGGTAAATAGTTGAAATCGCTAAAATAACTAAAATCTATTAAATTAATAAAGATTCCAATGATTGCAGTAATTTATTTCTATCAGGAGCACTACAAAAAAGTGGATATTGTTGTATAGTTAACATATTCAGAGAGCGGCAGCATTTTGCGGTTTTAGGCCGTCATATCCTCTCTCAAGTTCTCTCTGATCATAAGTTGAGTTCAGAATAAAAAAAATTAAAATTAAAAAAAAAGTAATTTTCCCACCTATCAAGGTGGTTGATTTTTATATCAGTCAGATTGTTGTCCGGAAGACTGGTTAGTGATTCTCCTATGAGGAAATGTCCTGGCATTAAAGGTTCCAGATCAGACGGATCAAAGGATAGGGGTGACAGCGGCCTCGAATTCAGGCACGCTTCAATCTGCACGTTGTCAATTCCTCAAAGGTAAACAAGGTATTGCCCATGACTCTGCGGAAATGATATTTGCAGGATATTTGACTCCTGCTTCCCATAGACCTCCTAGATGCGGCGAATATGGAGGAATAAAGTTCCATTCTATACCTCTCTCCTGCAACGCGTCGCCAATTTCTCCGTTGATGGATGTGCGGAGAAAAGCGTACAACTCTTGTAACTCGCGTTTAGCACCCACGAAATTGGTGGCGTTATCGCTGCAAATCTTTTGAGGCGAACCTCGCCGATCAATGAAAGCGAGGTAACGTGGCTAGGAAGGCCGTCGTAGATAATTCACTTGTAGCCTCGAGATGAATGGCTTTAGTGGCGAAGCATATAAATAATGCTACGTAGGATTTGCATGTTTTCCGACCTCGTCCTTTGTTGACAAAGGTAGTAATTGGTTCAGCAAAATCGACTCCAGTGACGGCGAATGCTCTGAATGGCTCTATCGCTGGGAAGGGATCCCATCGCTTGTGTTAGTCCTCATGGGTTATGCCTAGCACACCAGACACAGGAACGGCAAACCTGACGCACCAAATTTCTTGCATTTAGCGGCCAGTACTGCTGGCGTATTGATGCCAACAACAATTGTGGATTAGCATGTAGTAGAGCGTGATGCTCTCTTTCGATCAGCTAACGTGTGATCTTGCATTGTGCGGGCAGTAAGATGGGATGTTTCCTTTCGAAACTCCAAGGCGCCGCCCTGAAGTCGTCCGCTCATCCTGATACCATGTTTGTCTAAAAATGATAGCTGAAGTAATGGGCTAGTTCTGCTTAATTCTCGTTTGTTTTGAAGGCATTTTAGCTCTTCCGCGAAGTAGACACGTTGTAAATGCTTGAGTACTTCGCGTCTTGATAACTCCAACTCAGGAGGTAGAATCAATTTAGATAGTTCTCGGTTTTCATGTCCTTTGCGGCAATTATGAAGAAATCTAATGTAATAGGCAAGTATCCGCTCAATCCTTGTGAACGTTGAGCAGTTCGTGATGAGTGTGTTGATTGTCTCGTTGGAAACCAATAATTGAGGTACGATGAGATTGCAAACTGCAGTGAGTTGCTTAGCTTCAATCTCGGCTCTATGTATGGCATCCTCGGCAAATTCCAAATCGAGATTTCCTTCGCTTGTAATGGGACGAATATATGACAACCATTTAGGGCCATTCCTCCATAAGGAATTATCCTTCAGCTGAACAGGTGAAACTCCTCTTGAGATCAGATCTGCGGGAATCTCCGAACCTCTTACATGATTCCAATGAATAGCAGGCAGTATTCGCTAATTTCCGACACACGGTTGGATAAAGTTTTCCAACGCGCTACGCCGCGACGCCAGTACAGCACGACCATGGAATCAGACCATGCTCGTATTTCATCGATTTCAATGTGAATGGCGTGTTTTACATTATTGATCAGTTTACATAGTAGTAACGCGCTACATAGTTCTAATCTAGGTATAGATTGCTTCTTTAAAGGAGTTACCCTCGCTTTCGCGCATATAATAACTGTCGTTTCTTCGCTGGATTCGCTTACCGATCGTATGTAGATACATGTGCTATATGCTTTCTCGGAAGCGTCACAAAATCCAAACATGGAATATCGACAATTCTTTGATACATCTACAACTAATCGAGGAACATATAACTCGTGAGTATTATTTAAGGAATTTCGGAATTCCTTCCATTTGTCTAGCACCGAATCCGGGAGTGGATCGTCCCAGCCTGTCTTGATTTCCCAAAGACTTTGCATCAGGATTTTAGTTACCGTTAAAATAGGACTTATCAATCCCAAAGGATCGAATAGTTTACCAATTGCGGACAGCATCTCGCGCTTTGTGGATGCATGACATATTGTATTTGTGATAATCTGAAGTCTGTCCGAATTTGGCTTCCATTCGAGTCCCAAAGCTCGAATAGTATCATTCGCATCAATCTTAAAAGTAGAATTAGATTCACAGAGCTCGTGCGGAACTCCTTTCAGTGCGTCGTCAGAATGCACCATTTGTGCCCTTCGAATCCTCCTTCTTGTAATAACATACTGTAAATACATAACTGTTCTTGCAAAGAACGAGCATTTTCAATCATGCTAGCCCCCGAAATTATATCGTCGACATAAGTATCATTCATAGAATATGAGACGCATAACTCTTTACCTTCCTCACCTAATTGTCACGTACCGCCAAGTAAAATGCACAGGCTTGGCTATACGTAACAGTATTTAAGCGATACATTTAATCTTGTACAGATTGCTCAGGCGAAAATTTCCATAAAATTCGTTGAAAATCGCGATTGTCTTCCTGAATCAATAACTGGCGATACATTTTCTGTAAATCGGCAGTTAAAGTGATTTTGTAAGTACGAATAATTATGTCGATTAAGCCATCTTGTAAAACGGGTCCGATCAAAAGAGTATCATTTAAAGACGCCCTTATTATTTTTAGCGGATGCATCAAATATAACACGTAATTTTGTACTAGTACTAGATTCTTTTAACTCCCTATGATGAGGCAAATAGACCGCGCCTTTGCAATCGTCAAGCGCAGATTTCAGGACTGACATGTGATCTAACTCGATATATTCTCGCATGAACTACTAACATAACGATCTCGCATGACTTCATTGTTCTTGAGTGTGCGTTCCAAATGCATTAAACGCTTCAAAGCTACTTCTCGGTTATCACCAATAGGTAAATTCGCATCGCGAAAAGATAATTTTACCATGAATCTATTAGGTGTTGGAATTAATTCGTAGCGTTTTTTAAATGAAAGAATGTTATTTATTTCACCCGCGAGGGCCGAATCCCTGCAGGCCATTATCGGGACGGCATCTGCTATGATCCATCCAAGTTTCGTATTTTGTAAAACTAGCTGATCCTGCCCAAATTCGATTTTACCCATCTAACAAATCAAAGAAATATTCCGCCCCTAGTAACATGTTTATTGGACCATCTCGCATGACTTCATTGTTCTTGAGTGTGCGTTCCAAATGCATTAAACGCTTCAAAGCTACTTCTCGGTTATCACCAATAGGTAAATTCGCATCGCGAAAAGATAATTTTACCAGTGACAGTTTGCTCAAAATACTGCTCGCATCTTTTCTCGTCTGTCGATAACGCTCTTGTTTGTTGTCGTAATTCTCTAATTTCCAGAATCTTTCCAGACATTCCTTTAACACATCGCGAGGTTCTACCGAACAAACCAATGCACTTGTCGCTCCCCTGTCGGCCTCGATGGCCGAATCCCTGCAGGCCATTATCGGGACGGCATCTGCTATGATCCATCCAAGTTTCGTATTTTGTAAAACTAGCTGATCCTGCCCAAATTCGATTTTACCCATCTAACAAATCAAAGAAATATTCCGCCCCTAGTAACATGTTTATTGGACCATTATTGTGGAATTCTGAGTCAGCTAATACAAGATTACTCGGTATCTGTAGCTTGTCACGATCTATATTCGTGGACGCCAAA